TCAACGAACACACTCACAATTCAGTTTGATAGTGGTCTGAACATGAGGCTGCAACTTCGGAGTAGGTGGCATTTTCTTACAAAAAGTTGGCTTTAAATTTATTTACGTGTGTACAAAAGGATCTATGTTTTTATATAGTTTGCATACTTTTTTCATTTTAAAGGAAATAATAGGGTTAAGTAACACACCGTATTACCGGCTGCAGTGATGGCAGATCACTGCAGTGATGGCAGATATCTGAAAATTACCGATCGGAATAGGTAGGTTATAAATTTGGTTGGTTTAATTATATTACACAAATACGGCCCATTTCATTGCTATAAAACTATTGTCCATTGAATGGAGATACTGTAAGGTAATTTTGGACTCGTTTTTTCCTGTTTTAAGACTATTTTGAGCAGGTTAAAAGAGAAAGCCTTAGAAAAATCAGTGAAAATGTCTGTTTTCTGTTCAAAATATCTCAAGTTTTAAGTAAATGGCAGGCCTTCCTGTTATCAATATAGACGTTCATCCATTGGGGTCACGCAAGCCAAATATCTACCCCGTGAGTCTTTTCTTGAAAGTTTTACAGACGCTCAATCTTGTCCGGTCGAAGAAAAAATGCTGCCGTTGTAGGCAGATACATATTATAAATGCTGCCGTCGATGGCAGAAATACCATGAACGTGGCTAACATTCTGACAGAAAATCAAGTTCAATCTTTTATCAATTCCTCTTTTCTTTGCGTCCTTTTAGTCGGAATTGAGACGTTAAACTATCATTTCTAATATTTTCTCAAGGTAAAAAAAGTTATTAACCCATTACCCCATGAGCATCTTGTGAAAAATGGCTGTTTTCATTGAAAGGTCTCCCGTTACAAGTTCAAGTTGCTATAAAACTATAAAAACTGCTTCAATACTAATCAAACTTGGCACAAATGTTGACTGGACCATTGCCTTTGTAACAACATGTTCAGTCTGAAATTTCCTGTTACCATAGCAACTAGGGGACATCTCAAAATTACCAAAAATCACTATTTTGCGTTGATTTTTTCAATCAAAATTGATTTCAAAGTGCTGCCACTTCTCAATGGATTGAGATAGAGTCAAAGGCTTTTCAGCATTGGTAACACGTTACCTTATGATCGACCTGGGGCCATTTTTAGCCTCCCACAAGTCCAAAGTTTTCGTGGCGATGAGGGGGACTCAGCCCCCCTTCAAACCCCCCCAAACAGAAGGGGGGACATCCCCCTTCTGGCAACCCCCTGATGTATCTTTTTTGGGGGGGCGCCGAAAAAGTGGTCAATATTTTAAACAACATTTATTAAATAAAAACAAGTGTTTGGGGCCTAAATAAGGCATTTTTTCACCATTTGAGAAAGCAAAAAAGGAGGGGGGGGGGGTGAAAAAGGCGTAGAAAGGCGTATAAATCTGGTAATGGGTTAACAGAAAATGATGAAAAAAACGAAATTACCCAAAAACGCGTTTTTCCATGTTGAAACATGGCCTCACATATAATTTTGAAGAAAAATTGCTGTTTTGCAGATTTTTTGATTTTTTTCATTAATGCGGTATGTTCATCGAAAAAAAGCTTATTAACAACATGCAGTTACAATACAAAACTTTATGATTTAGTACCACAAAATTTCACTATAAATAGAGAAATGAACATGAAAAACTTCATTTTTCTATATTCATGCATGTGTGCTTGATCTGTTGTGTCTGTCAGTTACATGCATACAATACTATATGTATCTTAAGTTTAGCAGCGCACTCCCTTTTTAAGACATAACGCCAATTGCATATTACAGCAAATAACTTCTGTAAGTGGATATTCATTTGCTAGCATATGACATTATTTTCTCGAGGTAATAATGTTCAATGCTTTATGACAAATAAAGGCTGAAATTTACTTAATCGGCGCAGATTATAAATTATTAAATTGATGTAATAAAGGGGAGACTATTAACCTCGCAACTGGCATCAGTGTATCATAAAACAATGTATGTTAATGTAAAATGGAAAGATAATATTATTGACAGTTCAAATATTTTCCTATATTATCAAGTTCTTGAAAAACACGACAACGTGGATTCATTTCTTTAAATTTTCATGTTTGTAATAGCGTTGTAGTTTGCCTTTGAATTACATTTACTATGCTAAACTATTAACAACAGTTCTAACATCACGTGCTCCCATTTAACTATATATTTTTTCATTCATTTTAGTTGTAACCATGACAACTTATAAAGATGAACCTTTCGATGATTCATATCACAAGATGAAAATAAATCCTGTATTTATAGGAAAAAAAACTAGAATTTTTTGATTTGTTATATTCTTTTTCTCTTTTTTGACCTTTCAATTCATATGAACAGATCAAACACACATGCATGAATATAGAAAAATGAAGTTTTTCATGTTCATTTCTCTATTTATAGTGAAATTTTGTCGTACTAAATCATCACTTTTTGTATTGTAACTGCATGTTGCTAAAAAGCTTTTATCGATGCACACACCGCATTAATAACTTTTCTATCTTGAGAAAATATTAGAAATGATAGTTTAACGTCTCAATTCCGACTAAAAGGACGCAAAGAAAAGAGGAATTGATAAAAGATTGAACTTGATTTTCTGTCAAAATGTTAGCCACTTTCGTGGTATTTCTGCCATCGACGGCAGCATTTATAATATGTATCTGCCTACAACGGCAGCATTTTTTCTTCGACCGGACAAGATTGAGCGTCTGTAAAACTTTCAAGAAAAGACTCACGGGGTAGATATTTGGCTTGCGTGACCCCAATGGATGAACGTCTATATTAATATCAGGAAATCCTGCCATTTACTTAAAACTTGAGATATTTTGAACAGAAAACAGACATTTTCACGGATTTTTCCCAAGACTTTCACTTTTAACCTGCTCAAAATAGTCTTAAAACAGGAAAAAACGAGTCCAAAATTACCTAACAGTATCTCCATTCAATGGACAATAGTTTTATAGCAATGATATGGGCCGTATTTGTGTAATATAATTAAACCAACCAAATTTATAACCTACCTGTACCGATCGGTAATTTTCAGATATCTGCCATCACTGCCGCCGGTAATACGGTGTGAGTAACCTTTCACAGCAATTTGTCACAAAATGCAACAACAACCATGACAACAACAAACACCAGTTGTTGCAGTCATACCCTTCCTTAAAAGACATTGCTTGTCGAAATGTTTAAATTTATTTCCATAAGCGATGACGGAGTATTTACTAGTCATACCAGTCAATATAAATATTGTTGACATCAATTTCACGAAATGACTGATAAAATGAAATTGAATTTCTGAAATAAAGTAGAAAAACGTCAATAACTGTATAAGACGACATTTTATCACAGTTTATCATACTTTTCTTAATTAGTTTTACAGCGTTTTGTTCTTATTAAAAGGGGATATCAGTTTGATCTCGGTATCAAGTAATGACAAATGAAGGTGTCGTAAATGAAACGTACCTTCTTTTTGTGAAACAACCTATGAAAGTAAGTCATTTCAACCGCTTTCAAGACTAACCTGTTTTGGTATAATAAGAAGAAATAATATTGTTTTAAAGCAAGTGAGGCTTTACTCTACAATGTATATGTTTTAACCCAGCTCGTACCCATTATAATATATGGAGAGGCGCTTAAGGTCTTCCTCCCCCAGTAAAATTGAGAAGTCGTGATATGATATCTACAGTTACAATGTGTCCGAAAGTCTAACAAAACAAACTAAAAATGAATGTCATCTGAACCAAAATAAAGTTCTTGTAATTTCTTCTACTTTTATTTGTATTATGTTGGAAAATAGTTTTTTGATATGCTTTCATGATGATTATCAATTCTATATTTGGTATAATTTGTATACTTTGACCAAGTCATTAAAGGAAACAATATTTTATTGAAGCTAAATTTCCAAACTTGATCTTGATAAGAAACAAATAAAATTTCTGACCTATGCCATAATGTCAAATTCAAATTCACTTCCTTTATGTTAAAAATTACATCTATCTCAAGTTGCGACGACAGAGTTTTTAGTAATTACACAAGTCAAACGGGTGACTGACGAGAAACCCACGCCGATAGAATATGAACGTCCATTAAGCATTCATTCAAATATTATTTCAAATAGTTCTAATAAAATACAAAAAGTATAAAAAAAATAATTATAAGGTAAAAGTTTATGTAAAGATGTGAAGAAAAACATCAGTGGCTCTTTATCAAACGTCAAGTGAAAAGTTGTAAATGCATATTTTAAGTTTAACTTAACTAATGAAATTGAAACATTCATTATTCAATAGCCCAGCTCGGCAAAGAATGTTGTCATTGAAACAATGCAGTGATTCTTCAGCTTTTCAGACTACAGGGAACATCAAGCGATGCCTGTTGAATGTTAACAAGATTTTTGTCCGTGCATTGCTATATTAGTTAGTAAAGTTTCCAGGACAATGCAATGTTTATGTAATATCAAATACCCACGGGATGAATATGATAACTTTGTCCTTCAGTCATTGATACGAAATATTAATGAGAATGTTGTTCTGGACAATGTATGAATAAATGTCCTTGCACAGTAGTAAAATGTCGCAATAATTTGTATCAAATGCATATTGTCTATTTATTTAAAAAATATTATCTTTAGATGGCATTTAAAAAGTAATCTTTCAATTTAAATGTTCGATTAGGAGTCTTATACATTTACAAATGAATATTATTAAAAAAAAATGAAAGAACATACAGTTTTTACAAAAATGCATTTATATACATAGATAATGTGTATTATATGTCTCGGCTTATATGTCTAACGCATTTAATCTATACTCTAGATTCCAACAAATACAGCACATGTCCAGATTAGAGACCAGAAACATGATATACTTTCGTATAATTTCTTGTTTTCTGATCATGTTAATAAAACGTTGTCATATATATGACGGTTCTCATCTCCAATGCAATGGCAAAATAATACTTTAAAATACTTTGAACAATTCGAATTCATGGACTGTATCATTAGTGTTCGTGACTTTTCAACCCGCCTTGTTGTAATATATAGACCTCCTCCATCCAAAACGAATGGCCTAAGTACTTCAAAATTCTTGAACAATGAGTTTCCTGATTTTCTGTCGAAATATGCTGAAACTGACAAAACCACAGTGTTTCTAGGAGATACAAACTTTCACATTGATAAACTTGATAATCGTGATGCGCAGAATTTCTTATCCATCCTGAACACATTTGGATTAAAACAGTTAGTCAATGAACCGACACATGTAGCTGGACACATTTTAGATGTAGTCATAACAAGAGAAAATGAAAATGTAGTATCTGATATTAAAATAACTGATCCTGGATTTAAAACTTCAAACGGAAAAGTAACACGTGACCATTTTGCTATCCTAATGAAAGTTAATGTTTCGAAACCACCACCTATTCGTAAAACAGTCACATACAGAAAATCTCGTGATATAAACATTGAAGATTTCAAAGCAGATATTAGATCATCTGAACTTTTTGGTCCTAAACCAGACAGCATGGCAGAAGCATCAGAGAAATATCACACTGTCCTTTCATCTTTGTTAGACAAACATGCACCTGAGAAAACAAAAACAATTGTTCTCAGACCCCAATGCCCGTGGTTCAATCAAGAAATACATGACGAGAAACACATTAAACGTAAACTTGAAAGAAAATGGCAGGAATCAAAATTAACTGTAGATCATGAAATATACAGAAGTCAGTGCTTAGTTGTAAATGATGTAATTGAAAGATCTCGTGAAACATATTACAAAGACAAAATAAAATCGTGTGGTAATTATCAAAAACAAATTTTCAAAGTAACAAATCATCTCCTCGGAAACAAACCTGAAGTTAAGCTCCCATCACACACTTCTGCTAAAGAACTAGCTCAAGATTTTAGTGATTTCTTTGAAAACAAAATTGAAAAAATCAGATCTGACATAGCATCTAAAAATGAATGTAATACAACAAATGAATCTAATTCAACTCAAATACAAAAGCCTAAAGAAACATTCAGTGAATTTGAAGTTATTACAGAAGAGCAAGTTCTTAAGCTCATATCAAAGTCATCTACTAAATCATGTGAACTAGATCCGATACCGACTTGGCTCCTAAAAGAATGCAAACTTGAAGTATCACCATATCTAACGCACATGTTCAACTTATCATTTTACACCGCCGACGTACCTCCACGCAATAAGACTTCGATAATCAGACCACTATTAAAGAAAGACAATTTGGATCAAGAAATTATGAAAAACTTTAGACCAGTTGCTAATGAAACATATGACTCAAAACTTCTAGAATCTGCGGCTGACTGTCAGTTTGATATGTTTCTCAACACTAACAATCTACATGAACCAAATCAATCTGCATACAGGAAATTTCATTCCACAAAAACTGCACTTATCAAAGTGCAAAATGACATCTCCAATCTCTTGACAAAGGCGAAGTTACAATATTAGTAATGTTCGATTTATCTGCTGCCTTTGACACGATTGACCACAACACTCTTCTTAATCGACTCGAATGTGACTTTGGTTTTACTGGAAAAGTGCTCGCTTGGTGTAGATCTTATCTCAGTGGTCGCTATCAGACTGTTTGTATTGATGGAGAACTATCTGACCCTGTGCATATGACATACAGTGTCCCTCAGGGCTCTGTATTAGGACCAAAATTTTACATACTTTTCACAAAACCTGTCGGCGAAATTTGTCGAAAACATGGTCTGCAATGTCACTTCTATGCTGACGATTCTCAAATATACATTTCTTTCAAACCGTTGGACAACACCAAAACTGAACTTGTACTTGATTCTGTCTCAAACTGCTTAAAAGAAATAACATTCTGGATGAACAGCAACATTCTCAAACTGAATTCAGACAAAACAGAACTTATAGTCTTTTTCGTCGGGTAGAAATACAGACTCAGTGAAAAATATAACTGTCAATGTGGACCAAGCTGAAATCAAACAGTCATCAAGTGTAAGGAATTTGGGTGCATTCCTTGATTCAAGGGTTAATATGGAACATCATGTTAGCTCCGTGTGCAGATCTTCGTATGCCCAAATAAGTAAGATAGGACGTATTCGAAAATATATCAACGAAGAAGCTACAAAAACACTCGTTAACTCTCTCGTGACATCAAGACTGGATTATTGCAATGCTCTTCTATATGGTATACCTCAACAAACCATGAAAAAACTTCAACTTGTTCAAAATACTTCAGCCCGTGTGATTAAACGTACATCTAGGAAAGATCATATTACACCAGTGATGAAAGATCTTCATTGGCTGCCAATCGAATATAGAGTGAATTACAAGATCTTATTACATACTTTCAAGTCACTGAAACAACAATCTCCATCATATATGCAGGAAATGATTCAAGTTTATTCCACTTCCCGAAATCTGCGCTCTTCAAATGCACCTGTACGATTAGTGCAACCAAAAACTAAACTGAAATTTGGTGAAAGGAGTTTTTCGGCATCAGCTCCTAAGCTATGGAATTCACTACCAAGTCATCTAAAAAACTGTAACACAGTAGAAAGTTTCAAAAAACATCTTAAAACACACTACTTCAATTTAGCTTATGGAAAATAATCAGTGACTGTTATGAATGAATTTTATAAACAGTGAATACGAAGTATCTGTTATTTGAATATTAGTTTTATTAAAAAGTTTTGTTTTTTTTAAAAACAAACATTTTTTTAAATCAATTTAGTATTTCTATTGTTTTATAACGATGATTTAGCAAGATCTTATCTATTATTATAAATCCATTGCTAGCATTTTTAAGCACAGAATATTAACATTGATTTATCATAATAATTTACGTGTGTTATATAATATATGGCTCGTGAATGCAGAGGGGTCAGATTTCAAGAATATTTAGTGTTAAGGTGTGGGGCGTGGCCCTTTCCTCCTGTGGTGATAGTAGTGATGTCATCCTGGGGGTCTGCATGCGCTGTGGGGAGGTATCTGACTCCCTCGGTACTGGACCTTGGTGTAGCAGTACTCATGCTATCCAGGTTCGTTAGGTTCAATATTCTTTTAGTCTGATGTCGCTGTATTCATTCTTTTATCAATCGTTCATATATTTTCTGTTGTAAAGTATGACAACAAAACAATGAAAATCATCAATATGCATTTAAAGTAGCTTTTAATATTTATTTATGAGTTTATGTTAAAAGGCACATTATTTCTTACACATTTATATATTGAAGACAATTTTAATGTATGACAATAATATTGTAAAGTGAGTTTTAAGGATCTTTAAGTTTTATTGTATTAATATGTAAAAAATAATTCCATAATTTATACTTTTAATTAGTTAATGCAAAATATTTTTAATGTTCATAATCATGTTCATTTATATTGTTTTAGACATATATCATTGATGTAAAGCGCCTTTGAACATTTTAATGAAAAGGGCGCTATATAAATATGGTATTTATTATTATTATTATATATATATTTATTATTAAAATAAGTATAGATATATATTCTACTCTTTATAAATGATCGGACAACAGTGTGTTATATTGGCTCATGGTGCATTAAAAAAAAAGATATTGACACTCTTAAAATATATAACTTTTGTATACTTGTATGACTGTGAAGTGTGTCAGTTTTTTCTTTAAAAAATGTTTTTACACAAAGAATATCTAAACTAAATATGTATGACTTAAGGAATAAGACGAACAAATGTAACATGAATCGTTTATGGACCTAAGAGTTAAGGCTTTTTATATAAAGGAAAACAAATGTCAGAATATTTGCATGATTGTTATCACAATTGTTAAATAGCTTCTAATACATAAGCATCTTAATATCTCGAAAACAAGATGATAAAATTCTCATTACCATCTGTAGAAAATGAATTAAAAGTGCATTTTATAGAAATACTTGTACAGTCATAAATTTGTATATCATCATCATCATCATCATAGAAAAGAACAACAGAACAGAAATAACTATAAGAACAACAGCAACAAAAACACAATAAAAAAACAACAACAAGAACCCCATAAACAACAACAACTACAACAAAATCGTGTCAATAATCAGTAGACTTGTCATATCGGTTCTAACACTTAAAAAGCTGTTTTCTTTTTGATACATCATCCCATGTCATCCTTTAGCCTAAATTTACTAGCACACATGTTGTAACTGATAAAGGTTTATTTCCAGTACATTGAACTGTTTAGAATATTCTATCTTAAATTTCCGTCTTAAGTCAAGCTACGTGATAGATAACTGAATAATTATCCGTGTCGAACTTTCTGTGAACTAAATATTGCGTTCGAATGAAATGTTCATCTCTTAAGATTTAGAAGAGAAAGCGTGCTTATAGTTAATTTGTTTGTGCTTGTACTCCATAAACTTTATGACTTGATGTTCAAGTATAAGTTGATAATAATCGTTAATATCAAATTTTGTATACTCGTACTGACATTTGTCTTAAGCTATTTCTGATCTAATTATTGTATAATTATTAGAACAATTAAAAGAGTCACACTAACTTTTAAAATAATTAACAAGGCAACAGTCCGATTGGTGTTAATTTCTTCATTATTCAATGCATTGAATTACAGAAAATACTCATGAGTGTTGATTTGACATAGTTTACACTGGGAAATGTATATTTGATGAAAATGTCAGTACTTTAACAAGCATTTGCAAACGTATCTTATATCAAACTAAAATTATAATATGTATATTGTAAGTTACATTTAACTCCAGTAAGATATTCAAAACAGATGTTGATGCCTCTCGTAATGGCATATATTGTAGAACATTAAACTAGTTTATATCTTATCTCGCATTTCATTGTTTTATTACTAATGTTTAAGGTTTTTATTTAAAAAATACGTAATTTCTAGGTCTTCCAAATTGCATCAAATTCTTTGACGTATACTTTCAGCCAATCATAAAGTTAGAAAATGAGATTCTCCTCTATTAACTCCCTGGAAAATCTATGTTTTTCACTGACCTTTCATGTTTATCAATATGACCTTTCATGTTTCTCACTATTTACCAAGCAATTACGCCTCGGATTACAGTAGTGGTACAAACAAAAATATATGATACTTCATTTCCGAGAATTATTCACATTTCAGTTACGTAGCTTTTATCACTTGATTTTGCACTTTTCAATCACTTGCTTTAGAAAGATTTAACCATTAATATCTAAGATATGTACCTCATTGAACCGATTCTTAGTTCAGCAATGATCAATTCGAGCTAAGCAACTTCACCAAAGGTACTTGATTCCCATTAAGGTTTGAAAGTAGAATTGCTGTGTATGTATAAATAAATCACTTGTTTTTTCACCTCATTTTTATGGGGTTTCTTTCTTTGAACGCTTAGTTTTGGCTGTCATGATGTTATTTTCTTGATTTGTTCGATAATATTGGAGAAACAAGATAAGATAAACAACTCGTTTTCACCATTAAAAAAAGTTGTAATTCTCGCCCTTACAGCATTTACAACGAAAATTTAGATTACCTTGACATTAAAAAAGAGACCAGGAAATATTTAGGAAATGCGATAAAATTAATCTAATGGATTGGAATAACTGATATTACAAGTCTCAAATAAGCAGATAATTTTCATTCATCTTATGATGCGTATTCTAAAATACGTTTTAGAATATAATAATATTTCTTTGCTTACATGTTCCAACGACAAAGAGAGCGCTTCAGTTTTCAGATGTATTATCTATTTACTATTTTTGAGTATTCATTAATTTATTCAATATAAACTATTTGATTGGATTTTTTATTGTTCGACTGAACCTATAATACATAGAAACCTTGGTGATGAGATATAATTATTATATCATTGCAAAGATGCAAACTGTATTGTCTCCGCCACCGATTAATATTTTATTAAGGTACATCCCAGCAAACACAAGACGTCATACTGACGTCAGATTTAAGTCAGGTACTGACGTCGGATGACGGTCGGAAAAACGGTTGGATTTGAAAGTTTTTTTGACGTAATAATCTGACGACAGGTAGACGTCAGAATCTAACCATTATTTAACCTTTTTCTGACCAAAATCTGACCATTATCTAACCATTTTCCGACCTCAATCTGACCATTTTCCGACCTCAATCTGACCATTTTCCGACCTAAATCTAACCAGTTTCTAACCATTTTCCGACCTCAATCTGACCATTTTCCGACCTAAATATTAACCCTTTTCTGCCCTAAATCTGATCATTTTCTGACCTTCATCTGATCATTCCCCTAATCTTTTTTGTTTCACCACGTCATAAATATTTTCTGGCTAATCCGAATTTGATCGAATTTAATGTAACTCATTCTATTACGTAACTTTCCCTCCAATGAAATGTATAACAGAAAACTAAAAGCAAAAATATGTTTTATGCTTTTTTAATTTAAAATAAAAGTTGCAATTTTAAGCTGATACATACAATTTTAGTAAATTCTGCAAGGTTAAATAATTTTCATAAATTAAACAAAATAATACATAAAAGAAGTTAATTACAAAACAAAAAGTATTACAAAAACAATGACATAAATGAAACTAAGAAAACATGTACAAATATTAAAGAACAAAACAATGTATGCATATTTCTATCAAAGTTTGCCTTATCAAATAAAATAACGAAAATATTATAATTTTAAGAAAAGTTAAAAGATTCTGATAATAATATTTCAAACAATTAATGAAAGATTTTCAGTATTTTAACTATATTTCTACAGCATTTCTAAAACATTTAGTGCCATTTTGCATATTTTGACCTCCTTTGATAATTGTCAGTAATGTATAAATTGCTGCCTTTTAGTTACTTCACAAAGTTATACTTTTAGATATCCATGAGAATTAGCACGAATTTTGAGGTGTGATGCTTTAAGATATGACCTTCTTTCAGCACCCCTCGTCTGTCCGGAGGATATGTAGCATTTGTAGCGTCCAATAGCGTGTGTGACATCATTTTCACTGGAAAAAAAGAAATTTATGAAACATGTAAAAATAACAAGCAAAAATGTTTTCATGGTTATCTAAACTTAATAAACAATTTTGCCAACTTTTTATAAGAGAGCTTTAACAAAAATTAAAAGTAAACATAAATACTGAACATTTAAAAAGCCGCTTTTAAACTTCAGTTTAGTATGGACTAAAGTATGTAATAGAATTTACAAAAATCTTACTTTCATATGTTTCTTTTTACATATTCACGTGTTTCCGTCCCTCCGACCTTTGAGAGCTAGTCCAACACTTTAACTACCTGAAAAGAAAATTATATTCTAACTTCTGTATATATTTTACGTTTGAAATAGAACAGTTACGCAAGTCTTAAATATTTCATAGTTTTTAAATTGAAGATTTAATGCCGAAATGTCTGGAACCAAAACGTCTTGGGTTATTTGGGACCGGAACGTTTTGGGTTATTTAGGACCGAAACGTCTTGGTCCGAAATGCTCGAAATCGTACAAATTCATTCTCAATTCTCAGATTTTAACTGACAAAAACATCACAGTTTAAGAAAAATATGAAAACTAAGCATTCTCTTTGGTAGTACTGAAAGGCATATTATAAACTCTTCACAAGCAGAGTTAAAACATGTCAATTTTACAAAGATTTATTATTAGACATTATCGCGAATTTGTGTGATATTTTACTTCAGCTGTTCAAATAATGATAATTAAATTTAAAAGTGCTTGCAATCATGCAATTATTTATGAAATACAAAGTAGAAATAAATCTAAATAAATTGAACTGACCTTTTTGTTCAAGAAAATCTATAATATTCACTTTATCAATGCATCCCGATTCCTGACCGACAGCCAAAACGTAACGCCTACGAATTTGAATTTCCATCCACGTGACTTTAGATTCGAATTATAGGTTAATTATGTTTTATTTCCCTTTTCTGTCACTATGATTAAATGTTAAAGCACCATTAAAAACCTCGTGATTTTGATACATATAATGTACCGCAAATGATAATATTATAACGTTAAATGATTGGAACTTGTAAACAGATCTGTGGCTATAAATAGATTTCATAACAATAACACATGTAACTTGCCTATATACAGCGCCACCTATATGTTTTATTAGGTTGCAGCGCCGCGATCTTGGTCTGTATTTATATAAGAACACTTCATTTGTAATCCAAATAACATTTGAAAAAAAGTTTAAATGATTACAACAGCGAATAAGGATTATTTTTTGTTATTTTTTTACCTACCGTCAGGACACCGACCAGAACCTGACGTTAGTACGACGTCAAAAAGAAACGTCTATTAGACATCGGTATTTTAACGTCAGATTTACGTCGTATTTTGGTCGCCGACGTCGTGACCAAAATCTAACATTAATCCGACGTTATTTTAACGTCATGTGTTTGCTGGGATCAAACTTGTGAATTTGCTACTCCTCAACATTACATGGCAGTTGCTGAATTACAAAATAAAGAAGAGTTTTTATAAAAAAAAGTTAATAGTTAATAAATATATAGGGATATATCACCATTAGAGTGACTTATTGATTCCAAAATCAAAATATGGCAGTGTTGCATAATTTTGAAACTGAAAATTACCCACATACTGCTATGTCAAAATTCTGTTTAAAAACTAGGAATTAAATTAAAATATTTTCATAAACATTTAGTCAATATATCAATGCAGTGCACCCGAATGATAAAGTTTTGTTAAATAACCTCCTTAACGTATCCAGAACTATTCACCTGCTTCTGCATACATTTTTGACCCGCCATTTTATCAAATCCTTCTGTTTTTACGTCGTTTTTCCTCAAAGGATATCATGTTTATGCTTCGCTTAGTAAAATAAATTAAAACAGATTCATATTCCCATGAACAAAAATATTCATAGAACAAACCTAAATACAAAGAATTTCAATTCGATTGCTTTATACCTGACATAGTAATATCTTTCTTGTATTTATTTACATTTTGTCGGCTTTCTGTTGACCGCATAACGGAAGGAAGTAAAAAATATTCATACACAGAAGTAGACCTCACCTGAAAGATCGGGTAATTTCGGCGTATCTTAATGAAAGTTACATTTCTTTTATCACTTTATTTTTGTCCTTGTTAAAAAAAATATATGAGCGACATATTTCAAATACACGTAATATTTTATGGAACTATGAACAATCGCGTAAGTTCTTTTAATATTTTACAATTTGGCAGATATACATTTCGTATGCTTACCCGCCTGTCGTAAGCGTGATAAAATTATTGTTTGTTACAACGGGTACCAAGTAATCAAACATGGCGGAGATGTAGACACGCTGCTGCGGAAAAGTTTCTTTTCAAATGCTTTTAACTTATTCACGGTAAGATCAGATGTATTGATTATAATTCATACACTGGTACTTTCTTCAATTACTTTATTCCACAAATAAACAAACCGATCGGCCATGTTGTAGATCTACGATGACATACCATTTACAAATAATTAACTTTCGTTTTCATTCATCAAAATGTAAACAAAAACAAGAGGTTCTCACATGGCCTGTAAAAACGATTTTATTAATTCTATTTTATTTCTTTGAAATATTTATGCAACTTTATTAATATAATGCAGCTTTGAAGACCTTTATATTGTATTAGAAAAATATTTATGAAACTCATGAAGCGTGAAATGACATGAATGAAAGTGCATATAAAAGAAACTCGCTATGGTGTACTGATGTGCTCAAAATTAATGGAATTTAATGTGGAAATATTATTAATGGAATTTGTTTCAATTGTTGTGTCAATGTTTTTATTAATTTGAAAATATACATTTCTTGGATAACTTGTGGTGATAACTTGTTGTGAACATATTGCTTGAAATTTAGGAAATATTGTAGTGGCAACAGTAATTTTTACCCCACCAGGATGGGTAATGAAAGAAATAAGAGAGGGAAAAGACAAGTGTTTAATAAGGCCACTGAAATTCATAGCTTGAATTATAAAAGGAAAATTGTGATGAAAGATGAAAAGTAGAAAAATAAGCTGAGGATTCTTAAACATGTGGACCCATTCTATATTAGGCAGAAAAAACAAGGTTTGAAATATATACTATAAAGTAAAATAATTATTCAGAAAGCCAGAAAATTTAAATGTTTGCTTGACAAAGAAAAAAAAGGCTTTATATAACATCATTAAAAGATAATTTAGAAGGTAATAGAGTTATGAACATGCATAAACTGAAAGATCACATTTTAGAAATATCTTCACATGCCACTCTTTGTACTGAAGCTCACATAAAAGCCCTTTCAAATGACAATGTAATTGTGAAAGTGAAAAAAGGAATGGTTTCTATACCATCATCACCTGTAAATGCCAAGGATGTGGTAAGACCTTTGAACTGGAAAACAGTGAGAAGTTTGGTTCGACAAATATGGTGGATATAAATGTTCGTTCAGTTTGGGGTAGCATGGTAACAGGAGGAGGTTGTTCTTCCCTGAATGAATGTTTTGGAACTATAGGTGTTCCGGGCATTACAAAAAAGAATACTCGTCAATTGAGACAGAGATTGGGCGTATGTGGAAGTCCCTTCTTGATGAAGAACTTGTGAAAGCAGGTCGGGACGAGCGTGCATTGGCAGAGGAAAATGACGAATATTTTCAAGGTATTCCAGCAATAACTGTCATATGTGATGGAGGGTGGAGTAAGCGTACTCACAAACATAGCTACAATGCCATGGCTGGAGTTGCTGTCATCTTTGGTGCAAGAACAAATAAACTTCTTCATCTAGGTATCAGAAATAAAATTTGTTATATATGTAGCCGTGCTGAAACTGAAAATGAAGAACCAGTACAGCATGAGTGTTTTAAAAACTGGACTAAATCTTCCCAGGCAATGGAAAGTGATATCATTTTAGAAGGTTTTTTGAATTGTGAAAGACAACATGGAGTAAGATACATGCATGTAATAGCTGATAGAGACAGTTCCGTCTATGCAAATATAATAAAGAATGTACCTGTTTGGGGGCAATATGTAGAAAAATTGAATGTGCTGACCATGCCACTAAATGCCTTAGATCCAATTTAGAACGCTTAATATGTTAGAAGCCCCATTATAAAGGAAAAAGTAAACTGACAAGAAATAACATTAGAAGAATTTGTTCTGGTGTAAGATGTGCTAATGTAATGCGAAGTGCTGTAACCAATAAAATGACAGCAATTAAAAAACTTAAACAGGATATAAGAAATGCCGGGAGACATGTCCTTGGCTTACATGATTTATGTTCAACAGATTTTTGTAAAAATAAGGAAAAAAATACAGACATAACAAAATCAGATGATAGCAAAACGGAAAATACCAATAATGATGAAGAAGATATTATAATAAGCCAATGCGAGTACTGGACTGATTCGGTAAAAAAATATTCTGAAACTGAAATTGAAATGTTACGAAAGGGCGGTAAGACAATATCTCCGAAAGATTTTAATATTGAAGAGTTGTTAAGAGACATTTTTCTATTTTTGAATCGTCTATCGGAAAAGGCAAACCGACTGATTGGTAACTTTACCAGTAATTTAGCTGAGTCATGGATGAGCATAAAATGTAAATTTGAAGGGGGTAAAATGTTCAACAAATGCTTCCGTGGTTCATTTTACGCAAGATGTTATGGTAGAGCATTAAGGTCTTTGCTAGGTCCAGCATGGTCACCACAAGTTTACAATCAGCTTACAGATAAACGCCCAGATAGACTTTTTATCAGTACTTATAGACAAAGGTTTGTACGCTACAGATGTACTAAACGTGCCAAAGGTAGTCAAATAAACAGGAACAAAAGGAAATTGAAGAAAATGAAATCATCTCTTGAAAGCACCAGTAAGAAAGCAAGAAAAGAATACGGCGAAACTGTGCTGCAAGATAAGCCGATATCAGTCCATCACAATTAAAAAGGAATGTGATATGTTTTATAAATCCAGCATATCTACATGCAATAGAAATTAATTGAACAGCATACACGTGGTCAGTCAAGTAACCTTAACTGGTTTGCTGAAAGAAAGAACAGACTCACAAGTTCCGTATTTGGAGAAGTGATGTCAAGATCGCAAAATAATAACAGTCCCAATTTAGTGAAAAGGCTTCTCTATTCCAACTTTAAAGGTAACATGTATACTTTAAAAGGCTTAAGTGAAGAGGATAATGCAAGAATTGAATACATTAATTTGAAAGAGAAAGATGAAAATATTAAATACAAAATTGATATTCCGGGTTTAATTGTTGACAAAGATAATCCTTTTTTTAGCAGCCTCAAGCGATGGTGTAGTGGTTGGATCCAAAGGTCCTGAAGGTCTCATTGAAATTAAGACTTTATTACAGAACAAAAAAACAATGATCAAAGAATCTGCAGAAAATGATAAAGCGTTTTGTTTGTCAGTGCAAAATGGCATTATTCAACTGAAAAAAATAATCATAAATATTTTTACCAAATACAAGGTCAGATGAATGTTATGAATTACAAATGGTGTGATCTAATAATTAGAAGAATAAATCCACATGACATGTTTATTCAACGCATATACTGTGATACAGAATTATGGAAAAAAGTTATGATTCCCAAATTAAAGGCTTTCTATTTCACCCACATGCTACCTGAATTAGCAGTTCCAAGACATGGTACTCTATCTGGAATAAGAAAACCTGAATTGCCATGGGTATGTTCCCAATTAATGTACTACTTATTTCTTATACTATTAATGTTTTGGTTTCTTTCACCATATTTACATGTGCTTGCATATATATCATCCTATGTATTAACTTACCATTTATAATAATAACTATATATTAATTGTAACCTGTATCTTTTGCCTAATCCTTCATTTTTATATTTTACAGTTTTGTGGTACGTCATGCAAGAGATCAGAGAAAAAGAACTCTAAGAGAAGTGAAGGTGACAAATTAGACCAAAAAGACTTGCATACTCAGATTAAGACAGACAAAGATATTTACATTGCAACCCCATTAATACCAACACCAACACAATCAAGTAAAAGGCGATTTATTTTAATGTATATATAACTATATATAGTTAAGGTATTTAAAGAATTCTGTTAAATAGGAAATATTAGTTATTACCAATGTGCACTCTTTTAACAGCTGTTAACTTGTTTAGGAAATACCAATATGGAGAAAACATGAAAATGTTCTTTAAAGGCAGGTGGTCTTAAGTAACAGGTTATTTTGTTTCTTACATTACGGTAAGGGACAGTTGAAATGTACTTTTTAAGTACAGTTGTTATCTAGCAGTATTAATGTTTAGATGCAATGTATACATGTATAAAGAAGTATTTTTAAATTTTTAATGATGTTTAGAATTTTCAATATACCCTTATTTGAATTTTATAATTTTTTAATGAAGCTGTTATGTTAATTTATGTTCATGTACTTTTT